TTTCCACCACCCCAATCTGAGACACTCCGTCTGTCGCAAAAGGGGAAAGTGGGATTCAAGAACGTAAACAAGAGCAAAACTGTTAGGAACAGAAGTAGGCCGTTCAGCTCATTGAGCCCTCTCTGCCATTAAGTACAATAGCGGCCACTTCAACTGCATATTCCCGCCAGCTCTGTGATTTGTTGAGAGATCAAACATCTGTCCACCCAGATTTAAATATATTTGACGATGGAGGATGCTGGTGAGGAGAAGCTTCCTCCTTTTCCCTGTTTGTTTATCCTTCAAACCCAGTCAGAGGGCTGGCGGCGCTGGACATTTTTAAGAGGTCTCAGCATTTTAAAACCAGGATCTGTATTTCCCCCCTACTGCTGGGGAACAGTAAATGTAACAGTGGCAACATAGGAGAAGACCATTGAGCCTGCCCCACTATTTAATTGAATCATGGCTGATTAATTCTGCAATACCACCTTCCTGCTCTATCTCAGTGTCCTTCACATATCCAGAAGCCTCTTGATTTCTGTCTTGATCCTGCTCAATGATTGTGCCTCCATTGGCCTTTGGCGAAGTCACCTAATGATGTTCATAATAACACAAGGAAGGACTAGGACAAGTACAAAACAACAGGAGAAATTAAAGGTGAGATTAGAGGAAGGGTTACTGGATCCCAACATCTCATCAATCAGTTAACAACTCCCAACTCCGTTTACTTTAGAATCAAATTACTAAATTAACCAATCAATTAAATAAATTAATCAGTCCTTACTTACCTTTTTAATGTCTCACTAACCAGTGCCCAGCATCTCAGTCTTTAACCAATCTCAAAATTTATTGAGTGGCTCTGACATTTTGAGATTAGTCTGTAGACATTAACCAGTAACTAACTCATTCTAAATTTCTATTCAATGTCGGTTTTCAAAACATACCAATTCCAATCTGTCATTAATTTCACGCTAACCAGGCAGAGACTAATCACTTATTAAACTCAGCAACTTCTCATCAACTAGACCCAGTCTCCCTTTAACTAGTTGTTAATAATACCCCGATTTAACCAGTTAGTACTCCATCCCTAATCTTTCACTCATCAGTCCCTGGTTATAATGCTGGTTATTACCAATCAAAACCTCCTTATCTTCTCAGTGAAACTGTTCACTAACCAGTATATAACCTCTCAGTAACTAATCGAAACCTCCTTACCTTCTCGGCGAAACTGTTCACTAACCAGCCTATAA